GGGGGGCAGGACACGAAGAGAATATACTAGTGAGGAAACTTGGCGTATGGCAGCTTTGCTGAAATCTTGAAATATGATCTCGTTTAGAAGTTGATGGTGTCATTTTGGTTAACGCGCGGCGTAACACCAAGGTAGCGTCATCAGGGGAATACGGTAGATTTCCTATCTCCCGAAATGTCAACCGAAACTCTGACATGTGTTAACGATTCGGACAAATAAATTAAGTGAGGTTAAAATACGGATTATTGTGCAGCCTCACGCGAAGATATTTCGATCAGGGCAGAATACCAGCTTTTGAACGGGCTTCTTTCTGGCTTCCTGCAAAAACGCATACCCTACAAAAATGAACGCTAAGTAGTATGCATTTCTCCTTGATTTTCACTGCTTTTATGAAATAAAATGTATTTTATAGGAAATCTAAACAAACATATTCCTTCCTGTACTCTTTTTGGGATCAATTTACGCTTTCTGCAAAGCTTTTACTTGAAGAAAGGATATATGCCGGTTTTAAAGAAATTTGTGCATGGACGAATAATTGTGAACCCTGCCGGTCGTTACACCTGAATTCAAGGTCTGCAAACCACATCCTGTATATATTCTGTGTAAGGAAAAGTAAATATTCCCCCATGGTATGGTAAAGAAATCACGAAGTTCTCATACAGTTTTGCAAAGGATGTGGACCAAGTTGTATAATTTATAAGCAGCATTAGCAAATGGATAGATACGCCGATTTATGAATGCCCATTTAACAGTCGTAAAAAGTCTCATAATTAGAAAGATTTTCGAAACAGAAGGATGCTCTTTCCTCAAGTAGACATTTTAAAGAAGGTATAATTTGCTGTCAAAGGAATTCAAGAAAGAATTTTTGTTTATATCTTCTCTTTGAATATTACATAAATAGCAACCTTTTACAGAGCATGATTTCTGCAGGCGGTTAGTAAGAATTTTGTTCAAAAGCCGACATCATGACGGGACTGAAATATATTAGGATTAATTAATGAATTAATATGTTCAAGTTGAAAAATATTTCAGAATTTCTGTTGACACTTCTTGAGTTCGGGAATGTACTGTATGTGTACATGCTTTCTGATTACCTTGATTTTACAGAAGGCACGGGCAAATGAATGGCCGTTACGTTACTGCCCATTTATGTGTTTGCTCCGCCTTTCTGTATCGTGAATAAATGACTAGTCTAAAGATAGAAACAGACCTGCATCTTCGCCATGTGGCACTTTGCGGAGAGAAACGTTTAACCTGAAGGCATTTTGTAATCTGCTCTAGTTGCGTATACTTCAAAGTAACAGCGTGTCCTTTAGTAAATTCGCCCCACAGGGCTACGTCCACATTAGTGCCATCCAAGTCGAGATTCTGTTCCAACACATATCACGGGTCCCGGCGAAACTTTGCTTAATCACAGCCTCAGTAAATTG